AAACTGTTCATTACAAAGTATAACAATAAACAGCTGTTCTGGTATGTTGTTACGAAAAACTGTTCATTACAAAGTATAACAATAAACAGATGTTCTGGTATGTTGTTACAGAAAACTGTTCATTACAAAGTATAACAATAAACAGCTGTTCTGGTATGTTGTTACGAAAAACTGTTCATTACAAAGTATAACAATAAACAGATGTTCTGGTATGTTGTTACAGAAAACTGTTCATTACAAAGTATAACAATAAACAGATGTTCTAGTATGTTGTTATGGAAAACTGTTTGTTACAAAGTACAACAAAAAACAATTTCTAACAACATGATGATACCAGATTGGTTGTTCATGGAAGATGATCTAATTTTTTCATTTCTGAGAGATGGATACCATAATTTATGTTACTTTATTCTTTTCACCCTTCTAGAGAAAGGTGCAATTGTAAGAATGACAAACTAAAAGTTGAGGACTTTTAAAATGTACAGATAGGAGGAGCAAATAATTATTGTCAGTAGAAAATAATGATGCTTACATGCTAGTCACACTGTAAAGATTAGGGGTGCTAGGTGTTTGCACATCTGTCAGTTTTGGGCCTTGCTGAATGACAACTAAAAATAAAGCCTACGTGTAAGTGTTGGTTTGCCATCTGGACATCTTCAAATGTATACCCAAAAACCAAATGTACTAAAACATCACAACAGAAGTAGTAGAGCCAAAAGATATGAAATTTCTCAAACCCAGAGAGCAATACGCACTCTTATAATGAACTTGTGTTACTGATATTCAAGTGATAAAATAAAGTATTATATAATAATGTCTGTTTTATTTTATTATGGAATATTTGAATCAGAATTTACAAAGTAAAGTTTATTTTTACATGATCAGCTTTGGGTTGGAAATCATTTAGAGCTGGTTACAGAATACATAATGAGTTTTTACAGATATTCAAAGTGCAATTTGCACAATAGACAGACAGAACCCACAAGTTCGCAGAATACATCTTTACTACATTTTTATTGTGATGGCACTACTTTTACTACATTTATATTGTTTACAGCACTAAACTTACTATATTCTTATTGTGATGGCACTACCTTAACTACATTCTTATTGTGATGGCAC